TGGCGTAAATGGGAAAAAACTAGTAATTTCGTCGACGATTTCGGAACTCAACAAAGAATCCCATCCACGAAAAAAAACGAGCCTTTCCGACGACGAGTTACAAATGATTCCTTTCAGACCAGATTTGTCTCATCTTGACTCCTCCCATGCCGACTACTTCGGGTGACTAATGTCACATAGCATATGCAGAAGATTTAATATTCTCAATGCAGGTGTTACGGGGATCGTGTGACATCACTTTGATTACTAGGTAAGATAAAGTTACGGAAGTAAACCCCCCAAACAGCTGTCCACGGGTGCCTGTGCGCATAAAAAGAGGGGGGTGGGGTTATTCCTGGAACATCAAGAAGAAGCCGGTTTCGTTTTTCTTACTTCATCTGTTATTGATGTTTACTTTCAATCTTCCCTCATTCAAACTGAATACCCATAAAATGTATTATGAAAATAGTAAAGCCATTAGGAAGGCCGAGGCCTCCGCCCGGATGAGGCCATTATAATAGCATCGTTTTTAGGGGCCCTCTAATTTAGTTAATTTGACGCATGTGTCCACCTCGGCCTTCCTTCATTTCCCTTCTCCCCTGCTAAATTTGGTTTCATTCTGAAAGTGATCGCTGAACTAAATGGACAAGGAACCGTTTGAACTAACAGGAATAAAATAAAGCTATAAAGTCCTAGGGATAGAATGATAGCAGGTTAGATAGAAAGCAGAGCCAACGGACGAGTTATCCAGAAAGCTATCCTAACTGGCAAAAAGATCTGGATCGGAGCCTGCTCATGGTCTTTTACCCGAAATTTTCCAAATTACATTTACTGCTGGGAAAATGAGATAGTGCACGCGGAATAACTTTTCCCGCTTTTTGACAATTTGAAACAGGCACCATCAGCAAAACCTACACGGTCAACTCGAGCAGCGGATAGCACCGCCCACGCACAACTATATACTCATCAGGGAAGCTAGGCCAAAACCTACGTAAACAGTAGGCCTTTGCGATTGAGGTTGCACAATTGATTAGCAAGTCTAGGAGTTGAAACAGGAAGTTTTGACTATAACTGGAACTTTGTCCCGAATTGATCGCTCTGAACCCCAATCCCTATTGATTAGGGGCCAAACATTGAATACTGCCAAGTGCACAGCATTCTTCAAACACTCCTAGAAGCGTAGTAGAAGGGCGAAGATGATTTTAAAGAGAATTTCACATCGACACGAGCTGTAAAGTTACTAAATCAGACGTTCGAAGGCAATAAGACACGATCGTAAGCCTACGTCATCTGGTAATGAAATGGGATACGGTTGTCAAGTCCAGCTCTACGGAAATGAACAAGTTCTCTGGAGTAGTAAGAAGACATAGTTGACTGTTCTAGACTGACACTATAACACCAACAGAAACGTAGCTGGGAAACCAATTCGGCTCATCACGGAAAGCGGTAACCTCTAGAGGCGGGCCTGTCTGCAGAGGGTGGGGTTGTTTGAGACGAGGCTTGAAAAGCTTCAAAGTAGAAGTTTCGCCACCAATCTATCGACGTGGGTTTAACCAATGCGTGCTGAATTCAGCTGTGCATTATATTATATCGAAGAAAGTGGAAACGAAAGGAGCCTGGTATTCGCGATTTGAAAGAGAAAAAGCTGAAGAAGCGGTTTCATAACTTCCTGTTTTGCATAATGGAACAATCAGCAATTCTATTAGTATTCCATCATTATCAGATTGTAAACTGTAAAGTACAGTACACCCTGCTCGACAAGCTTGCCTATCCCGTGAGAGTGAAAAAAGAAAAGGCATTTTACACAAAGAGCACAGGAGAGGATTGGGTTATTTCACAAGAGGAATACACTTCTTGTTTAACCCGAAGCTCGACTCTCTTGACTCGCCAAGTCTCAAACTGGATTGAGATTTTCTGCTTTATCAAAGCTCTGCCCCCAATCCAGTTGTGTGGAACTGCAAAACAGGTCCGACCCACAGCCATCACATGCCCTGAGTTCTTGAAAATCTTACATAAAAAAGATTTTCAACAAGAAAATTGGTTTTCTCCACTCGAAAATTGATTATCTACAAACAAAACCGCAAAAAAAAACCAAAACACTCGAAGTTTCGAAAAAAAAAACGTTTTTCTTGTCTAGTGAAGATAATAAACGAAAAGTCAGGCTGAATTTCAGATTTTCATGAGGATTGCCTGGAATTCTGGGAATTTCGAGCAAAATTAAGAGTTAGTGATTCTAAGCCACATTACTTTCGTTCCCTGTAATTTTTCAGTAACAGGGCATTGAAAAACCCAGATTTTACTTCAGAAACATTACTGCATAACGACATAGTTAGGTACCTCACGCCGAGGTAATCTACGGGAATTGTAGTCACATACTCTTGATGGATTTGTAGTGGATGTGTTGATGTGAGATTGAAGTCCAACTCAAGAAAAAGGCTACAATCTAGAAGAGAGTACCGTGTATCACGTTACTTTCAAAGTAATACTACGTAGTAAACAAAAAGACATTTTCTGAAGCATAGGCGAATAAAACACGCTACCAACTGATCTGCCTTTGAATTGACTGCTTTTGAAGTGAGTTACAAGTAGTATTGTAAAGTTAACTCTGAGCGATACATCTACTAAACAAGAAGCAGCAGCATTGATGATTGACAGTAGGAAATGGGATAAGTGGGTGATATTGGTACGGAAGGCGCCATGCATTCGAATAAGCGATAGTATCACAATAGCATTTGAATACTTAATCAAGTAGTAAAATTACTTATCGGTGCGCTTGATGTACAAGTCAGTGTTTTTACTCGTCCAGACTTGTTTGGTGTCAAATTGCCGACCCCGGCAGGAAGGAGAACTTGCCTAATCGGGACCTGATTAGATCTGCTACCTGATTGGTGGGCCCTGCGTGAAGTAATGGACACTTTTACAGCCATCTCACCTCTAGTCATGTTTCATAGTATTACCAGTAGTTAGTAGTTAGGAGTTAAAGCAGCGATTAAGGACGTAATGGCACAGCTACTAGTTTACACTTCGGCACAGATTACCAGTTTGCTTATCTTACTCGCCCTGGACCCATGTAGTAGGGTAAGACATTGAAAGCATCGGTTGGTCCCAAGAGTATATAAGACTAGACCACATTCAATTAGCCCTACAATTAGGATTGAAATGGGAATGCACGGGGCAAACCAAAGTATGGTTCACTACTGACTACTTTAATACTTGTTAGTACCACAGTATCAGGAAATCAGTAAAATGAGAGCGACTACGAAAAAGATCAGTTCAGAAAGGATGAAGTGATTGACTGACAGAAATTTATTGACATAGGCGGATTACTGAGCAGTTACGTTTCAAATTATAGTAGTAAGTACCTCACAGATGAACGAAAGATAACTACTTGCTAGACTTTACAACGAAGCCAAAATTACCAGTATCGATTTCATTAATAAGAAATGGTCAAATGGACGTAGCGAAAACTAGTAAACGTGAAAAGTCCTTGAAATGTCGCGTAGGCCCACATTGATCAAATCGATAGTTAAGGTCATAGAAATTGGGGTACGTACGGTTCGATTGGCCCTCATGGAAATTATGGTCATAAAAAGACAAATTTAGCCTCCGACGAACACCTGCACCGTGTGCGTGGATGGCTGTGTTTGTATGGGCCCTACGATCGTAACTTTTTGGTAATTGATCTGGACGTAGCCAGTAATACGGTCACAGTGGGATGCCCACTCGAGTTCAAAAGTGCCATGTGATGTGACAGAATGTAAGAAACTAGCAGACAACCTCACAGCTTAGACCTTGACACCTGAGAATACAAAATAGTAAAATCAATACTCAAGTAACTCGTACGAAAGTAGTAAAAAGGAGAGTAAGAGGAGAAGGCTGTTAAAAAGGCAATGTCTAAGGCTTAATTGTCTCCACCAACTCTCTAACCCTCGTTAAAGTTACTTCCTGAGCATGCAGAGTAAAGGCTATTGCAGTAAAAGTCCCAGAAGCCTCTGCAATGGGCATGGAAGTGGGAAGGCACTGATAAGAGTGCAATAATGGGGCCAAGCACCTAGAAGTCACTTTGGCATCGAGTAAATGCAATTATACGAAAAACATACCCTTTCGTTGTAACAAGTTACCAATGCATAGGCAATAAGTTTGACAACCAACTTGTAACCCTCAAAAGTAATCACTACAGGGGGCGGAAGTTTGAGTGCGGCCGAAGTTTCTAGGGCGTGTACCTAAAAACCTATTGAAACGGGTTCTTTTTCGAGCTCGATGCTTTCATTGAATCATCCCCGTAAAAACTAGCAAATACGCTGTCGGTTGGTTCAGAACGACGACGATCCATTTGGAACCGATGATAGCATAAGAGGGGTGGGTAGCTGAAATGAGAGTGAGTGGGGGGTTCGGAGAACGCGATGGGCGATTGAACAAACATCCATCAACGATGGCCCTCGCACTTCCCCCCATCGTCCCAACTAGATAACGCCATTACTAACAGGTGATTAAAGTAAAACTACTCGGACGAGTGGCTCAGAGAGTAACTCGGCCAAAGTGTCCACCACAGGTGACATTTCCGCCGCAGGATGTGCTAGGTACTTAAATTTATTGCTAGAGACACGTAATTCACACTTCTTATCGCTCTGATCGGTTGACCCCACGACAAGGGCGGACGAGATGTATTACATCGTGTAAACTCACGTCTACAATACGCCAAAAAATGAATAATCGGTATCAAACTTTACAATTACTCTCAAACTACTTGAAGCAGGAAAACGAAATCAATAACTAGTCTTCCCCAACTCTAGTAACTCAATTACCTCAGTTATGGACCGCGTAGTTGGCCCAGAAAAACTTCCTTACCAGTGTTCAACATATATCGCCTATAGAGAAGTAATTCTACATCTAGAGTGTTTTTACAAGTAAATGGTACAGTAGTATCGAAAGTACATGAAAAAGGTTCGGTACCAAATGGCGAATGAATATCAAGCGTGCAAAGTAACACTTCC